CACCCCGCCTCCGTCCCCTTGCCTGTGTCTACAACACCACGGCCTTCGGATTGGGTGCCATCTTGACGACGGGCGGAAGCCTTCGGGCATTAGGCCAGAATCAGATTGATGATTGGTTCGGGGTGGGTTCTGGATGGAAACCTGCGAACGATTGGAGGCTGAGACTCTAAAGGGGCGGTACTTACCGCTCATCTATGTCTGCGGTGAGGCGGGGACGGAGGCACCGACTCCGCCCTAACGCCACCGAACCTCTGGTGCCCTACACTCGCCCTGCCCGGGTCGGAGAAGTCTTGAGCAGTTGGAAGATGGCCAAATGCAGTGTATTTATTTGAAAAGTGGCTCTTCCTTGATCCCCATTTTCCGGTTTCTGGAGCTCTCTGGGTAGAGCCCTGCAGTTAGGCTCAATAAATGACAGGAATTCCAGTTGCAACCCTCAAATTCATTCCCTCCTAGGCCCCTCTCCTTTGTAGAAGCCCGTAGGATGGTTATCTTCACTCTGGAGATTCCTGGAGTCTTGACTAGGGAGGTTTACAGTGAAAAGTTCCTATTAGCTTTTCCAGTCATAGAACCTCAGTCCCTCCTGCTGCAGTTTCGGTCCCTTTCTCCTCCTCCAGCAACCACGCCCTCCGTGAATCAGCTTCTTGCACCAGCAGATGAGCCCTTTAAAGGGATTGCATCAGGCTGGTGACTCACTGGGGCCCTCTGAGAGCCTGGCTTCCCTCCCCTGGCATGCAGAAGCAGTTAGAAGGGCTTAGTGGCAGCAGGACTCTCAGCCATAGTCCCAGTCCTTTGTCTCAGGTGTGAGCCAGCATACCTGCTGCATATGACTAACCCCTGGGTGCTTTCTAGCTGTCCCCTGGATCATTCTGGGTCCATGTGTGGGCACACGTGTCTGAGCCGGTGTGCACTGCTGGCTTTTCTTTGAGCGTGTGGCCAGGGACTTACATTTATGTGCATTTGTCATCACCACACAGGCAGTGCCAAGACATGAGAGTTGGTGTGAGTGAGGGCTGGTGGCCTCTGCCTGTGTCCCTTTGTCTCTCTGACTGCCTGGTGCCCACTAAGATGATCAGGTTGGATAACAATAGTAACCAGAACAGCTCCTGTGAACCATTTGAGAGACATTGGCATCTCCACATGGGAATTAGAAGTCTGTTTATAGATAAGGAAGCTAGAATTCAGAGAGGGAAAGTAACCTGTCCAAAGACACACAACTAATGATGACAGGGCTAGGGTATGAACTAAGTCTGGTAGATTCCAAAAAGTTTGGATGTGAATCCTTGATGCATAACCAAAAAGCTGGGTGATTATGTGAAAGTTCCTTAATCTTCCCAGTCTGTCAAATAAGGGACAAAGACATCGTGGAATCACTGTGAGGATTTAGTGAGTTATGGAAACAGCTTCTCACTGTACCTAGTGAGTGTTCACACTCATCTCGGTCAGAGCTTAAATGAGGTGAATGACCAGAAGACAAGCATAAAGACGCTGGCCCCTACCCACCAAGCTCCTCTCTCTGACAAAGGGAAAAGCCTAGGGATTCCGGAAGCCCTGACAGGAATGAGTTTTGGGTTTTCCAGAGCTCTAATTATCAGCTAGATGAGTCACTTGGGGCTGACACCACCACCCCCACCCCCAGGAGACTCTCAGCTGATTCAAAATACAGGATTTTAACAAAGGAGAGGAGGAAGAGAAAGAGGGGAGGAGAAAAGGTAATGCATAGAAACTGAAGGCACCAGCAGGAGGAAGCGAAAAGCTGTCATCAGGACACCAACATGGCAAGACTGCTCAGACACACACACACACACTGTGACACACTTTTCTGCTTGCTCTCCAACTCTGGGCATACTGGAAGACAGTGCTGCCATAACAAAGTGACGCCTGTCACAACAGCACGAGATGGTTGCTTGATGAGGTATAGAGGCAGATCTGCCTATTACAGGAAAGATCTTCAATCTCCAGGGGCTTCCGTTCTCGAGTTCAAAAGCCCTAGCAAGCTGTACTTACTGGAGAACTCAGCAGCCATCTTTGTGGACCTATGACCTTCTCATCTCTTAAAATATTTTCCCTCCACGCAAATCTCATATTTGCTAAGATTTTGTTTCCTATACAACCTACGTCAAGTCATTTCTTCCTTTTTGTTTATGACAGCCTAGTATTACAGCAGGAGCTCTGGTAGCATAGTGCCTAAGGCACCTAACTGCTAACCAGAAGGCTGGCAGTTCAAACCCACCAGCCACGGTTCAAACCCACCAGCCATTTCCCGGGAGGAAGGTTGGGCAATCTACTTCCGTAGTGATACTGCCTCAGAAACCCAAGGAGGTGTCACTATGAGTCGGGTCTGATTCGACAGCACGTAACAACAACAACAGTATGACAGCTATAAGAAGCTCTGGTGTTGTAGTGGTTAAGCCATTTGTTTGCTAACCAAGAGATTAGTGGTTTAAACCTACCAGCTACTGTGTAGAAGAAAGATGAGGCAGTCTGCTTCCATAAAGATTTATAGCCTTGGAAACCCAATGGGGGTGGCTATGAGTCAGAATCAATGGCAGTGAGTCTGGTTTTGGTTTGAGTCTTAAAGTCATTAGAGCTGAGCTTTTACTTAGCAGGAGCAAGACAGTGTGACTATAACACACTGTGTTGTAATTCCAGCCCAAAGTGCCCTGGTAAGCCAGCTTGTTCACATTCTGGGTGCTGTTTCTCTGGGTCTTTCTGGAATATTGGCAAGAACTCAAGGGACCCCTGCTGCCCTACAGCTGAAGACACTAGACTGGAAATCACTTCACTGGATGTTCTCTCAAGTCCCATCCCTCTCTTCCAGGCTGAGAGTTGGAGGTGCTGGGTCCCTTGCAAGCCCTGGGGAGATCTAAACTTCAAGCTGCAGGCCCACCAGGATGTCCCCAGAGCCCTGGTAGTCCCCTGCTCCCAAATGAGGGACACCTCAGTATTCTCTCTCTAGGCACAGGGTGGAGGGACAGCAAAGAAAATATGCAAGACATTTCAACATGCCACCTGAACACTCAGAATCCCTAGGGGTTGTCATCAGCTGGGACCCCCCCATGTTGGCTGAAGCCACAGACAGGGGTAATATGTACAGGCTTGAACAAAGGCATGGCAATGAGTGACATAAAATCTGTCCTCTGGGGAGGATGTAACATGTTGAAATATGTCTTTCATCTTTTCTTTGGTGTCCTGCTGCCCTTTCTTTATGCAGATAGTTCAGCTATTCTGCTTTTGTGATTTCAGGAAAGATGACCCACAGAATAGAGTCAATTTTTAGCTTCTGAATTCCAGAAGCCTAGCCTTCAGGAATGAATGGAAAGAATTCCTGTGCAGAGATACGAATTTAGAAAACTCTGTATCACTGGATCTGGGCGACTGAGACTTGGAGGCGTTCCTGACAGCAGAGGAGCTTCTCCTCAGGCTCCTAGCTGAGGTTCAGCTAGGTCTAGGGGATCTGAAAGAAGGAGCTGTGCTCCTTTTCCTGTGTGGGACACCAGAGAGGTAACAAGACCCTCAGAAGAAACAGCTGTGTGCTGCATTTGGGCAAAAGGGCCTCACTAACCAGATCAACTAGTTGCCATGGAGTTGACCCACGTGTATCAGAGTACTAACTGTGTTCCACAGAAATGACAAGACAGCTATAGTAAAGACTTGGGTTCTTATCCCCACAGCTCCCTCTTGCTTGAGGACCCAGACACTCTCAGAATCTGAGACTGATTTCTTGTATTGGTTGAGCTCCCTGTCTGAGGTGAGGGGTCAGGATACTCCAACCTCTCCACCTCAGGAAACAGAAATGAAACGCACACCTTCCACAGGGGATTTGAAGAGAAAAACCTGAACTGACTGAAGTACTCCCCTAGGACAGTTCTCAGTTTGCTGCACATTAGAATCACCTGGGGAGCTTTAAAATCGTCCAAGGTAATGATACCACCTTGGAAACCCAAGGAGGGGGTCGCTATGAGTCAGATCCGACTCGATGGCAGTGTGTTTGGTTTTTGTTATTTCTACAAAGTAGATTGTGCAGTCTTCCTCCTGAGGAATGACTGGAGGGTTTGAACTGCCAGCCTTCCAGTTAGCAGTCAAATGCCTTAGGTACTATGCCACCAGAGCTCCCGTAGAAATGCAAATTCTCAGCAGGGGATTGAACCAGAATGAACCAGTCAGGAGTCCTGGACCCAAGCCTGTTTCTTTTAAAGCTCCTCAGGTGATTCCCACACCCATCTGAGTTTGAGAACCAGTGTCTTACTACAGGCATACTAGACTATCACAAAAAATATCCAAATAAATATTGCAATAAACTGATTGACATGAATATTTTGGCTTCCCAGTGCATATAAAACTTAAATACTTAATCTATTAAATATGCAATAACATTATGAAAAATGTTTGAAATATTGTCAGAATTACCATAATGTGACAGAGAGACACAAAGTGAGCACATACATGCTGTTGGAAAAAAGGCGCCAATAGACTTGCTCGCCGAAGGGTTGCCATAAACCTTCAAGCTGTTACAAACGCAGTATCTTCGAAACACAATAAAACAAGGTATGCCAATACATAGGAAAGGCAGGGAGCCCCACACATAGGGAAAGCACGAGTCATGGACTTTGTAGCCAAGTTTAGTCTTCCGAGAACATGAACACAACTGCAAGAGTAAAGGGGACAGTTATGGGTGGCTCAGGTCAAGTTCATTTAATAATCCTCATCAGCAGAGGGTTGAAATTAAAACTATTTGGCAGATTTTGATCAGTAAATCAGGGACTCAAATGATCAAAAGAGGGGACTGTCATCTATCCCAAGGCCACAAAGAGATAAGATTCTGGGTCCCAGGGTATTTGGGAGGTAGAGCTCTGTGAAAGGCAGCTATGACAGGACAGGAGGTGTCTATCTGACAGCAATCTCTGGGCTGGCTCTGCTCCCTTCTCAGGCTCAGGGCAGGGAGGAATGGCAGAAACCTGAAGGAACCTGAGTAGGGGCTCAGAGGTGCTGAGAGGAAAACCTCATTTGTGGGTTTTGGAGGAGAACTCCTGGCGGCCCTGGCCACCGAAGTTGCGCACCCGATGGATGATCTGCAGCTGTTGCTCGATGGTAGCGGTGATGTTCACGTCATCTGGGATGTGGACATAGCGGACGTTACGGCCTGTCACAAAGAGGTCATCCAGCTCAACCTGATGTCCCCAACGGTCCGTGTAGGTGACATTGGCCAAGCGGATATTCATGAATGCATCGACGTTGTCTATGCGTCCTCGGGCAACACTCTCATCCCGCAGGTCCACAGTGGTTACCTGGCCCTGGAGGCCCTGCAACAGGATGATCAGGCTGTTCTCAGAGATGGTTCGCTCCTTCACCGAGTGGCTCAACGCCATTCTTCAGCACCAACTGGCTGCTTGCTATGGGCAAGAGCACACAGATGGGAGCTGTAGCAGCTGGGGGGGCGGGGGTTGTGGGCTATCCAGCTGCCAACTCACCCAAACCAGGTTCTAGCACAAAACCCCCAGCAGCAGACCTCTCCAAGCCAGCCCCACCTCTTCAACTTTTGTGTTAATGAAGTCAGGCTAATGGGAGCCAGGTACTTCATGTATGTATCTCATAGAATCCTCACATCACCTTGTAAGGCAGGGAGTATTTACACCAATTTTACAAATGAGGAAAATATGGCTAGGAGAGGTTAAGTAACTTGCCCAAGGTTACACAGTTGCTAAGTAGAGGTATTGGGATTCAAATCAATGGCTGCCTGACGCCAAACTCAACACCAGTGGCTCTGAACCAGCACTAAACTTTAGAATCTACCTGGCAAGCTTCTACCTGGCTACCACACCCTAGAGATCTGATTCATTTGGTCAGGGGTGGGGCCCGGGAATCCTATTTTTAAAAAGTTCCCCAGGACATCAAGCTCAATTGGCATAACATACTACACGAAACACTGTTCCACCTCCTACTTTGGCGAGTAGCGACTGGGATCTTAAAAGCTTCCAAGCAGCCATCTAGATGCAAGGATGTGTCTCTCCTCATCCAGAGCAAAGAAGAATGAAGAAACCAAAGATTCATGGAAACAGTTAGTCCAAGCAAATGGTACACTATGCGATCCTCAGCCTATTCAACTATGAGACCAGAAGAACTAGATGATACCCGGCTACCACTGTCAACCACTCAGAGGGGGATCTATGGAGGAGATCCTGGATAGAGAGGGAGAACAATGTGGAACAAAACTCAAAATAGTTTGGGAAAAAAAAAAATGGGGACCAGGTTTGCTGGTCTGATAGAGCCTGGTGGAACCACTGAGACTATGGTCCCTAGCTGCCCTTCAGGTCTGGAATTGAACCCACTTCTTCCAGCCAAACAAAAGACAGGCATAAGAGTTGAACATTTACCTGAGGTAGATACACTCCTTGGAGAGAACCACCATGGGAGAAAGAAGGGCTGTGTATGCACAGGGAGACAGCTTAGGGGGCAGGAGTGCATGGAGGGATGGACACAGTGAAGAGGTAATTATGGGGAGGAAGTGAGAGGGAAGCTGTTGCATTGGGGTAAATTGTAGTCAATATCATGAGACAACGTATGTGTGAACTGCTGTATGGAAAGTGAGTTTGCTCTGTAAACTTTCACTCAAATCACACACACACACACACACACACACACAAGTTCCCTAGGTAATTCTAATGTGCAGATAAATTTGAGAACCACTGCTCTAGTTTGTAACCTTGCCCCTCTATCTGTAGACCAGCAGAGACTAACAGTTTCTGCATCTCTTGAGCATGTAAAAGAAATGCAGACTCTCAGTCTCACCCCCAACATACTGAAACAATATGCATTTTACCATGAATTGTAGGTGAATCATATGCACACTAAAGTTTGAAAATTATTAGTCAACACCAGTTCTCCAACTTTAGTGAACATCAGAATCACCTGGAAGACTTACTGAAGCACAGGTAGCAAGACCTTACCCCCGGAGTTTGATTCAGTAGGTCTGAGGTAGGTCCTAAGAATGTGCATTTCTAACTAGTTCCCACATGGTGATGCTGCTGCTGGTCAGGGGCCCACAAATTTATTTATTTTTAATTTTTATTGTTATTTGGGTGAAAATTTACAGAGCAAATTCACTTTCCATACAGCAGCTCACATATACTTTCTCATGACATTTACTGCATTTCCTCACAATGCAACAGCTCCACTTCCTCCCGATAGTTACCTCTTCCCTGTGTCCTTCCCTCCCATGCACTCCTGCCCCCACCCCCTGTGCATACACAGTCCTTCTATTCTCCCATGCTTGATCTCTCCAAGGAGTGTATCTGCCTAATGTAAATGCTCAGCTCATATGCCTGTCTTTTATTTGGCTGGAAGCCACAGGAATGGCTTCAATTCCAGACCTGAAGGGCAGCTGGGGCCATTGTCTCAGGGGTTCCACCAGGCTCTAGCAGACCAGCAAACATGGTCCCGTTTTTTTTTTTTTTTTAAATGATTTTGAGTTTTGTTCCACACTGTTCTCCCACACTATGCAGGATGTCCTACATAGATCCCCCTTCGAATGGTTGACAGCGGTAGACAGTGGTAGTCGGGCACCATCTAGTTCTTCTGGTCTCATAGTCGTACAGGCTGAGGATCACATGGTGTTCTATTTGCTTGGACTGTTTCCATGAATCTTTGGTTTTCTTCATTCTTCTTTGCTCTGGATGAGGAGAGACCCATCCTTGCATCTAGATAGTTGCTTGCAAGCTTTTAAGATCCCAGTCGCTACTCACCAAAATAGGATGTGGAACAATGTTTTGTGCAGTATGTTATGCCAATTGAGCTTCATGTCCCCTGTGACTATGGTCCTGATGGGGCACATACTTTTGCGAATTACTGGTCTATACCATGGAGTTGCCAAATAAGCGGGAATTTAGGTAATTAATTGAAAAAATGGTAGCATACAATGCACATGGATTTTTAAGGTAGAGAGAGCTGGGTTGGAATCTTCACTCTACCCCACTAAGTCTAAACCTAGGACAAGTTATTTAATGTCCCTGAACCTGTTTCCACATCTATTAAACTGTATGTTAAATGTGCCTAACAGAATCACACTACATTGAGTGCACCTTTGCTTTCAACATGCCCAGATTTTGTATTAATGTGACTATGTCTTTTCTATCCTCTACCTCAGACCTTTAGTTGAAGGTGGTGAAACTTTCTTACTTACAACCTCACTCGGAATCCAGGCTAAAGTCGTGTAGGCTGGCACCAAGTGTGGCGAGCCAGACTACATCATTAATGGATGAGAGTGGGAGCAGGGTCGTGGGAAGTCTACTGACTCCATCTACCCTACAGGTTTCAAACTGACAAGTCTGTCAGCAAGCAAGAGTTCTGGGGGCTCCAAAGATCAATCACTGGATCTGGAGTCAGGCCAGGATCTGGGTTCAAGGTTAGGTTTCGCCACTTCCTAGAAAAGAGACCTCGCGCAAGCCACTTAGCTTCTCTAAGCTTGTTAACCCATCGGTAAAATGGGGATGACGACGCCCCTTTACTCACAGTGTTGTGGAAGTGGGTTTGGGGAGATGAGCTAAACGCAGTAAATGGGAAGAAAACGCTTTCCTTTCTCCTCCGTCGTCTTCCGGGTTCCTGGACTCCCACACTGCAAATACCAACACACTACCGATCCGAAACGCGCAGGATTCCTTCCGCTTTCCCTGTTCGGGTAGCTGCCGAAGCTAGCCGATTCCTCGATAAGCGGCCTCCAGCCGACAGTAGCCGGCCCGAGAAGCCATGACACCGATGGGACCACTCTATCCTCCGAGAGCATAGAGAGGGCATCCGTACGCAAGGTTCACGTCACCGCGGGAAGTGTCGGAAACTACAATCCCCAGAATGCCTAGCGAGGCGCCGTAGCTCCGGCTCTAAGAACCTTGGCTTACGTCATTGTATTCTCTGTTATTCATTCATTCATTCAGTAAACGTTCATTGAGTCTTCACCATGTGCTAGGCACCTTTTCAGGCACTGGGTATACAACAGTGACTAAGCCGACAAGCTCCCTAATCTCACAGCACTTAAATCTACTGGTGACGGGTAGCGGGGCTGGGGACAGAGGAGAGTCGAAAATAAGAAAATAAGAAAAATATAAATTTCTTCAGAGAATTAAAAGAAGGTGGTGCAATAATGAAAGAGTGGCTATTTTGAAGGGCAGGATTTTCTGAGATGACATTTAAGCTGAAGTGGATGACATGAAGTCAACCTTGTTAGAATCAGAAGAGCACTGCAAGCAGTTTTGCAAAGCCATGCAAAAGGCCTGGTGGAAATGAATGTGACAATTTGGAAAAACAGAAAGACCAGTGAGGCTGGGGAGAGTAGTGTGAGAAAAGGTCTGACAGCAAGACAGGGACAAGAGCATTTAGGGATTTGTAAGTCAAGGTAAGGAGCTTAGATTTCATGGTTAGAAGTACAGACTCTGGAGACAGTTGTTGGGTGCCATCAAGTTGGTTCCGACTCATAGTGACTCTGTGTACAACAGAACAAAACACTGCCTGGTCCTGCCCATCCTCACACTTGTTGCCACGTTTGCATTCATTGTTGCAGTCACCGTGTCAATCCATGTTGGATCATCCTCTTTTTTGCTGACCTTCTACTTTACTAAGTAAGTATGATGTCCTTCTCTAGGGACTGGCTCTACCTGATAACATGTCCAAAGTGTGTGAAATGAAGTCTCACTTCTTCCAAGACAGATTTGTTCATTTTTCTGGCAGTCTATGATATATTCAATATTCTTTGCCAACACCTTAATTCAAAGGCACATCAATTCTTCTATCTTCGTAATTCATTGTCCAATCAGTATTTCTTAAAGTGTGGTTTGGGAACCAGTTGCCTCAAAGTGATCTGGGGTGCTTGGTAAGCCCCACCCTAGACGTACTGAAGCAGAAGCGGAGCCCAGGAATCTGCATCGCTAACAACGCACAATAGAATTTCAGGCCCACTGTCCAGTCAGACTTGGCCACTCAGCAGTCTCCGAACATGCCCTCCAGTCTTGTCTCTGCCTTGGCTATTCTGCTCCATCTGCCTCAGACCCTCCTTTGTTTATCCTTTGATGTTAAAATCAAACCCCTCTTTCAAAGTCTAGTTCAATTTCTGCTCCTTTCTGAAGTCTTCACTGATCATCCCAATTGGTAATGATGTCTTTCCTCCGATCCCTGTACATGTTGCTTGCACCTTTCCTAGTTTGCTTGTTACATATTGATTCACCAGAGTTATTTATATAAATCTCACCTTCTCTGCTAGTCTCCTGAGTATTGGGACAGGGAGAAGGCCTGAGGAGGTACAAATATTTCACATTGTAAGCCACAGTTGTAACAAGGAGCACTAGTTTTACAAATGAGGTGAGAAGGTGATACGGATCTGAGT